TTGTCTCGCCCCGCGGCCTGCAGAACCTGTAAGAGGAACCCTATTAATAACTGAAATATAACCTTAAACTTTGTAATCCCGCACGTAACTCCTGTAACAACGCAATTTCCAGCGACCTATCTGCTGAATCTCGCTATTGGAATACCCCATGGCTGCTGCTGTTGAAGCCGCTCCAATTCGGAAGGAGTGGGTTCCAAAGCGGAACCCGCTTAATCCCAATTGGACCAGCGCTTTCTGGGTCAGGGCCCAAAATTGAAACTTGGTGAAGGGAGTGCCATCCATGTGACAAAATAAAAGGCTTACACCCTCACCCCGCATGGCTAAATACTGGCGTGGAGCCCGCACCGGGCATAGCTCCGCCACAGAACACTGGCCCAGCTCAATGACAGAACCCCTGCCCAGCTGGTCAGTCTTTGACCACTGAAATGTGATCCAAACTTTGGCATCCAGCATGTGGATATCATGCTGGTCAAGTGCTAGGCCAGATACATCCTGGCGAGAGCCAGCCACCAACTCACTGATTCGCAATGCCCCCCAAAAGGCAACCGGTGATGCTGCATGGAACAGTGCGGCCTCATAGCCATCCTTGCAAAGTGTGTGCCAGTGTGCCTTGAGCCCCATCAGCACTGTTGGGGTCAACAGCTCCCTAGAGTCTACCACCTTGCCACCCTCCCTTGACCAGCCCTCAAGCATCTTCCTAATGCGGAAGTCACCCGTCTTCTCCTCAAACCCTGATGCCTTGCTGGCATAGGCGAGAGATGACAGCTTGCCCGATGGAATGCGCCGACAGGCCCTTACCTCTCAGGGTGTCAGTTAACACTGCCATTCTCTGGAATGTGTGTGTGTGGGGGGGCGAACTTCCTCACCTCTGCCTGGTAGACTAACGATGTCTCCGGTCTTGGATATTATCTGCTTTTGCTTTTGCTTTTCTGATCTTGGAGGTTCCAGATGCTCCTGACCTGCTGGAAACTAACGGCTTTTATTTTGCCCACTCTCTTTTCCCTGTGTGCGCACACAGTGCTTATTGGCTTCTGCTTGTAATGGGGTGTGTGTGTTTTGAACGGTGAGCAATTACCCCCCCCTTCTTTGTGACTGTGACTATATTGAACCCAGAACCCATGTAAGGGTACGGGGATTGATAGACGGGATTTGATCAACCCTTCTTTGGTGACGGGGCTGGGGGCCAAGATAGTTAAGCTCCCAGACCCCATTGTCTTCACCCGGATGGATGGGTCTGCCATGAAAGAACCTTGCAAATACGAGACTGTGCCTTTACGGGTAGGGTCGGGAAGCCATTGGGAACACCGGCCATTTGTCATCACACAGGCAGCACAATTCCCCCTGCTGTTGGGCAGCACGTGGCTACACGGTCATGACCCGTACATCCTGTGGGATGAGGGCAAGGTCCAATTCATCTCTCCCAAGCGTCAGGCTCACGTGTGGTCTGTGGGATGGGGGCCTCCTCCTCCAGATGAACCGGTGCAAGCGTGCCTGTCCAGGGAGGAACTGGATGCTATTTCCCCAGGCTAGGGTTTTTGAAGAAGAGGAGGCTGACAAATTACCGCCTCACTGGCACACGAATTGTGCTACTGAACTGATCCCTGAGCACAAGTTGCCTAAAGGGAAACTGTATGCAATGAGCCCAAGTGAGAAAGTGGAGCTGCAGAAATTTATTGACAAGAATCTGGCTCGGGGGTTCATTCGCCCTGCGTCCTCCCTGTTTGCGGCCCCTGTGCTTTTCAGGAAGAAAAAGGATGGGGGGGTTGAGACTCTGCACTGACTATAAGGGCTTGAATGCGGTTTCCACTACGAATGCTTACCCCCTCCCCCTAATCAAGGACTTCTTGGCCGAGGCGGCCAAGGGGAAAATCTTTTCCAAACTTGATCTCAGGGATGCATATTATAGGGTGAGGATTAAGGAGGGGGACGAGTATAAGACTGCATTTAATACTCCACTGGGCCAGTTCGAGTACCAGTGTCAGACTCGGACCCTTGCCTTTGGAGTTGAGGCACTGGATCTCTGTAATTGCAATCATGGGTTACTGATGTAGATAGCTTTGCTTGTAACCATCTATGCTTCCGCTATTTCCGTTTCACTAGTATATTTAACACCTGCTGGCACGTTATCAATCTGTTCGCAAGGTCCCTCCTCTGCCATTCTTGCAGGGGGAGGTTGAGACATGTCTGAGTGATCGTAGATTAGCTGTGCTGTGGAACCGCTTATCAATGGGAACCTCCTCCTCCAGGGGCCGATGGGAAGCTTTTGCTTTTCATCCTTCTCATGGCCTTCGAGAAAGTCTGTCATGATAAACATTCTCACCATTATAAGTGTCTTGTTTTACTGCACCTGCTGACTATGTAACGCTGACGTATGAATGAGGGCTGAACCACTGTTCTTGTAATTTCCAGCTTTGTAATATTCTTCAGTTCTGGCAAAGAGCTTTAGCTTCAAGCAACTTTTCTGATCTCTAAAATAAAGCCTACTTTAAAAAGGACTTATTTCGTCTGAGAATTACTGGGCGAGCCGAACGCAGCCAACAGATCTAACAACAACAGCGCCGCCACGCCACCTCGATCCAGATGTTTCCGGAGGTCGTCAGTCAAGGCGACCAGCGCAGTCTCCGTCCCATATCCCGGGCGAAAGCCAGACTGGAAAGGGTCTAAGATGGAAGCGTCATCCAGAAAGCCCTGTAGCTGTATCGCCACTACCCTCTCTATAAGTTTGCCCAAATATGGCAAATTGGACACTGCCCGATAGTTGGCCAATACAGCCAGGTCCAGAGTTGTTTTTTTCAGAAGAGGGTGGACCATCACTTGAGTGCCCTCGGGAACTGCCCCTCAGAGAGGGACATGTTGACAATCTCCCGTAGGGCACCTCACAACCCCCCGTGGCCTGCTTTAATGAGCCAAGAGGGGCACGGATCCAGGCTGCATGTGGTTGGGTGCACAGATATGAGCAGTCTGTCAACTTCTTCCAGACTGAGCGGCCCAAAGTAATCCAAACCTGGCACCGAAGACGTGCAAGGGGGGCCTCAAGTTCACTCACTGTTTCAACTGTGGCGAGGAGGTCGTGGCGGAGCGCCAAGACTTTATCTGCGAAATAGCTCGCAAATGCGTCACCTCCAATATCCAATTCACTAATATTCTGTCTGCCCTGTGGCAGAGTAGTTAAAAACCGAATCGTCCTAAACCATTGGGCTGGGCGAGAGCTGGCAGATGCAGTCGTGGTCCAATAGAAATCCCTCCTTGCAACTTTGACCGCCGTGTCATAGGATCTCATAAACGTCCTATGGGGTGCTCTTGTGGCCTCGTCGCGAGCGCGGCGCCACCGTCTCTCTAGCCATCTCAGTTCTCGCTTCATAAGCCGTAGCTCCTGGGTATACCAGGGCGACAGCCTAGAGCGAGTGGGGAAAGGGCACCTGGGAGCGATCTCGTCAATGGCTGGTTAGGCATACAAAAATTCGCATAGCCCTGCCTGGAGCAAGAGGGGGCGTGACCTAACCAACGTGGATGACTTCCCCCACCAAAGGAGAGTGGCTCCACAGGACCCTATCATCCCTGATCCTGATTCACTGAGGCACTGGGATCCATAAACCAACTGGGGCAACAGCAGCTGGAGCAGTGGAGGAAGACGACTCATGTGGAGTCTGACCAAACACCCATGGTGGGAGTCTGTCTTCATGCCGACCATCCAGCAGTGAAGAAACCAATTTCCTCTGTCAGGGTTGTGTCTTCACAGAGCTGTACAATAACTTAGCCCTGTGCTTGACATGTGGCTGGCATCAAAAACGGGTTTGGCAAGAGCTTGGTGGTTGCCAGTGAGCTCTGGAATTCCCTCCTCCAACAGAACCTCTCACGGGTGGCCTTTTGGAGGCTGGTGTCAAACTCGGGGCCTCGTTTGCCATGGGATCTTGTGTTCTGTCTTCATTTCCCTGTAACCATTCTGTCTCTGGGCTACTGGAGGGGGAGTTCGTGAGTGTGTGGATGTGTGTGTGGGAACCTGCTTCATGTTTTCTTAAGGGGCCTCCTGTATGGGAAGAATGCAAATGTCTCTGCTAGCCAGCCACTGTAGATAATGAAACTGTTAGGTCCGCAGGTGGGGGAGGAAAGGAATGTGCACTAGTTTAGGTGGGATTTGTGAATGGATTGATTGGACGGGTCACCGGGGGGGGGGTGTTCGAATCACGTATAATACCAGAGCTGATATCAGAACTGGTGCCAGCTTAGTCAGTTCTGACACAGACGGTCTCTACCTGACACAACTACATATCTCAATTAAAAAATCACTAGAAGAGTGTTGTTGAGAGTGAGTTTATGCAAGAGTCTAACAACTGGCTGAGAAAGCTCTTTTCCAGAGGGCTTTGGGGAGGGGCTAAACAAAACTCCTCCCCAAAGATGACTGATTGTTTTTTATGTGGTTGATTTTACAGCTTTAAAGTTCTAATGTTTCAAGTTAAGATTTGGATGGGCTCCTAGCTACTGCTATTGCCTGGATTGTTTAAAGCTTTTTTTTAGTACCTTGGTTTCATTAATTGTAACTTTATTTACCATATGCCTCTATATTACTTTTCTCTTGTAAGCCACCCTGACTGATTTTTAACTAAAAGGGCAGGATATGCATATAAATGATCGAGGCTTATGACATTTTTCCATTCAAATCAAGGGAATTCAAATATGAATTGTCACCAAATCATACCCTAATACATAAAAAGAAGCATTTATTTGGCTGTAATCCATTTTACCAGAGGCATGAAGTTCAACCAGGCTTTAATTAGAATACATTGTAAAAACAAGGTATTTTGTTCCAAAGTTTATTGAATTATACATCATTTTTCAATGCTTACATTTTTTATTCATATTGTACTGGTTAATATGTTTAACTGTTCTTTAGTTCATTATGGACTTGGCTAATGTTATAAAAATGTGATTGTTATGTTTCTTAATACTATTGTATTATACCAATAAAATGTTATTGGAAAAAAAATATATGATCTGTATGTTGTAAAAGTCTTGCTTCTCTTCAGGATCAAAGACTTACACTGCACTTCACTTTTAAACAAAGTTCTACATAAACTTCACTATGATTGAGAATTCTACCCAACAGTTAATTCTTGATCCTTGAGCCAAAGAACATAATAATGCCATGGACTAACAGACTTTGATGAGGCAAATGCCCGGGTAATTCCTGCAAATGTTCAGTTTAAGACAACAGATCTTTGTTTGGTAATTGTCTCTATTTGTTGCCGCAATATGTTTGTCCAATCTTCATCTCGGCTCAGCGACCTGGATCTGGTCTCCATCTCCTTCAGTGCGCTTATCTCCGGGGAGTCCTCAGGGGTGAGATGGGCTTTAAGTACAGCATCCTTGAACTTGACGGGGGAGGCAGGGGCCAAGCAGCACCTGGGCCTGGAGGGAGAGAAGAGAGCCCGGGGGTCCCAGAAAGAAGCCTCCAGAGGGGACTCCGGGGGGGAGGGGCACAGCTAGATAGTTTCAGCTAGACCATCTCAGATGGTGGAGGACCCACGTGCATTATCAGGGAGACATGACAAGCCAAGACATTAAACATCTCTTTCTGATATGCTGGCTGACCTTAAGTAGGAAGCTTGGTGTTCAGAGGTGATCCCCGGCTGGAAGTGGTGCAGGCCAGAATCCTGTCACTTTATTCTGATGCATGATGTGCGTTTTAAGGGGGCCAATGCACACATTACAGAGTGCCCAGGTTGAGACTGTGGTCCCTTCCTGACTTGAATTAGGACCATAACAATGTATAGAGAAAGGGCTTCAGCCCATGCTGCTGTCCAAAGTGTGAGAGGGAAGGCCAAAACCCCTTTTCCACATGTGCCACACTCCCAGTCCAAATCACACATGCAGGAACTGAGAATTTGCAGCTCAATCTGTTACACCGGCTGGGGACCTTAGACTCAACCTGTGTACACTGTGGTGTGTGAATGAAGACGCCTAATGTTGTATCTATCATGAAGGTCAAGTCCTCTGGCCCAGCTGAAAGGTTTCGGTTTGTTTGTTTAGCAATTTTCCTACTTCTGGTGTGCTAATTTGGGGGTGGACAAAGGCTAACAAACTAAAACTTAGCCCCAACGAAACAGAGGTGATACTGGTAGGGGGAAAGGTTTGACCCAGGAACTGAGATGTCTCCTGTTGTGGATGGAGGTTGCACAACCTGTCAAGGAGCAGGTTTGTAGCTTGGGGTGCTGCTGGACCCAGGCCTCCTGCTGGAGAAACAGGTGGCAGCAGGGCCCAGGGGTAGCTTTCACTTGCTTCAGCTGGCTCGTCCGCCCTTCCTGGGCAGAAAAGATCTTGCCACTGTGGTGCATAACCTCGTAACACCTCAATTAAGATTACTGCAGTGTGCTCTATACAGGGCTGCCCTTGAAGAGTATGCAGAAGCTACATTTGCTACAGAATGCTGAGGCCAGAATGTTGACCAGCAGAGGCTAGACAGCTATTGTAAGTCAGTCTGTGCTGAGTGATGGCTCAGATTTCTCAGACAAAGAGCTACCTGCCGGCCCTAAGCCGGTAATTGAACAGCTGGCTGCAGCTGGCTCTAAGCCAGAAAGTGACTTCCAGTATATGCAACAGCAAGGTCGGTAACGTCTCAGAGAAGTTCCTGAGATGTACCGAACTGGCCAACTTTTTTTTGGGGGGGGGTCTAGAGGAGGTCCCTGGAGGGGGTCTCTGAAAGCAGTGGGGTGTTTTGGGTCGCTTCTCTCGGCTAGACTGGGGGTTGAGACCTGAATATAAACCTCCCAGTAGGTATAGCTCTGAAGCAGTAAACAAGTCTTCAGGAGCCACTCCCAACCCACCTAGCTCACCCACACCCTTGCAGAGCCGACACTGTCAGGGACGCTTAGAGTTGCAAGAAAGGAGAAGTGCAAGACTCATGGCCCATCATCAGCTGTCAACTGAAGAGATGAATGAGTAGTTTTGCGATGACTGCCAAGGAATTGGCTATGAGTTTAGCTCATTAAGACTTGGCTATAATTTCAGCTGGGAGAAGCAGCAATTTGTGGATACAGCTATACTTTGCTAGGTAAAGGTCCCCTTGCTCGAAAGCCAGTCGAGTCCAACTCTAGGGTTGCGGTGCTCATCTCCGTTTCAAAGCCGAAGAGCCAGCGCTGTCCGAAGATGTTTCCGTGGTCATGTGGCCGGCATGACTAAACACCAAGGCGCACGGAACGCTGTTACCTTCCCACCGAAGTGGTACCTATTTATCTACTTGCAATTTCTTGCTTTCAAACTGCTAGGGTGGCAGGAGCTGGAACTAGAGACGGGAGCTCACTCCGTCATGCGGCACACTCGGGTCTCGAACTGCTGAACTACTGACCTTCCACAGCCTGCAGTTCAGTGTCTTAACCACTTGAGCCACCGCAGCTCCTTACTTTGCTACTGAGCTGCTATTGGACTGCTACAACCTTGAACCTTGGACTGGACCTGCCAACTGGCTTTTCTGGAACCCCTGACCTCAGACTGGACTTGCTGCCTGGAACTCCTTGACCCTAGACTGGACTTGGGTAAACTTGCTCTCTGGAACCCCTGACTTTTGGACTGGACTTTTGTTAGTCTCTGGAACCTTGCCTGTGACTTGCCCTGCTGGACCCCAGCCCGTGCCTCCTAGGGAAGCTACATTCATACTACAATGGGGCCTTCTCAGTCACAGCACCCACACTTTGGGACTCCCACTCCAGGGAGATTCCTCTGCCTCCCTCTAGCATGGTCTTCCAAGGTTGGGTGAAGACTGTTTGGTTTGGTGCTTCCTCACTAACTCTCCTTGGCCTTCCTCCCTGTTTGTGTTTTATTTGTTTTAACTATTTTATATAGTTTTATCTGCATTTTAACATTGTATTGATTTTCTTACACCTTGGGTACCCTAAGTTGGGTGAAAGGCAGCATACAAGTGTTTTAAATGAATAAATGAAATAGCTAAACCAAGCTGGGATACTACCAAAGCACGGGTACCTATGGCAAAGTCCTCTCTGCTCCAAAGGGACCATAGCTGGGGCATAAACTTAAATTGGCATCCACATTCAAAGCTAAATCACACATTACACACATGAAGCTGCCTAATACTGAATCAGGCCCTTGGTCCATCCAAGTTGGCCTTGCCTACTCAGACCAGCAAGGCCAGGGTCTCAGGCAGAGGTCTTCCACATCACCTGCCAGGAACTGAACGTGCCAAGCAGGTGCTCTACCACTGAGCCAGGGCCCCTCCCCTAAATCACACAGCAGGTCAAAGCTGTGACCCTGTTCATAAAGGAGACTGAGCTTCAAGTCCATGCCAAAGCCATTATCAACTCCAAATACCTGTTCATTAGCACCCCACCCCACTCCACCCTTCAGATGAGAGGAGAAACAGACCTGGGTACCACCAGCGTAGAGAGAACACTGAGCATCCCACAGGCTCGGCTAGTTCTATGCTAGTCCAAGTCCCCTGGAGAAAACTGCCAGCAATGCTCAGTTGATGGGACTCCAGTTTGTCCCTGAAGCTGCAACATCGTGTCGGAGGAGGAGGAGTCAATCTAATAGTTGAGCTGCAATCTCCATCCCATAACCCATGTCCTGTCCTGCTAAAACTCTCAGCTTCTGCAGGGAACCTACCTACTGGGATGATGGCTGGGGTGCTTGTAGTGGTAGCCGACAGCCACGGCTGAATGTGGACACAAGAGGTACTGGTTCTCTTCCCAACAGTCCTTCATGGCCTGAAGAATTTCTTCGTCTGAGAATGAGGATGTTTTCAGCGCTCCAGAAAGCTGCATTCAGAAGGAGAGATAAGACGATGCCTGGGCACCCCGCGGAGCACTCTCATCACAGGCCGCCACAAGACGTCTTCTGCCCTTCCTCTTCTTCTTCCCAGGAGGGGCATCGGGTGCTCTCCTGCAGGGGCCACGGGAAAGTCCTTCATCCCCTACAGCAACAACATTCAACTGCCCGCTTCAGAAAAACAGGTGACTGCTGGGGGGGGGGGGAGCTGAGGCGTGGGACTGACTCCCAGACCAGGACTACACCCCTGCAATGCAACCGTATGCATGTCTACTAATGCCCACTTTATTCAAAGAGGCTGACTCCCAGGGAAAGTGTGCAAAGGATTGCAGCCTGGGAGTAACTGCCATTAAATACAGTGAGGCTTACGTCTGAGTAGACACACATTCGATTGAGTTGCAAGACACTTCCCGAATCCATGATGGGCTGAGACATGGACTCCAGCAAGGAGCCACTAATCTGTAGCCCATTTTTTTCAGGGCAGTTTTTCGTTTCCCAGGCCACTTCTGCAGGGTGGTGGGGCCCCCGACAGCCTTAAGTGGTTCTGGGGCCCCATCCTTGGTTTTTGCCCAGGTCCCAGAATTCACTAAGACCATTTCTGCCCAAAACCACACTTCAAGGCATGCACACACAGTGCTCGCTGTCTTCCAGATGCAAACGCCAACCACCACCCTCTCTCCCCTCGCCGGCCTATACTCTCCCGTGCCCCAGGGCTCATTCCCTTCGCCCCCTTCTGCACTCCCATCCACACAACAACAAATCCCCTGCTTCTCTCCCACCCACCCACCCACCCAGCCAGCCAGCCAGCACCAGGACCACCCCCGCCACCGCAGTGATGCCTGGGGGGGACTCCCTGGTCCCGGCTGGCCTCAGAGCCCGAGTGCTGCTGCTGCTGCTTGTGGGAAGGCTGGCGTGGAGAAGGGCAAGCAAAGGCGAGTCCCAGGCGCCTGTCCTGCTGACGGGGGCACCTGGGCAGCCCAGAGCTCAAAGCCGCCCAAGCCCCGCTGAGGCCACGCGCCCTTCCTCCCGCGTCAGAGACCAGGCCCCAGGCCGAAGGGAAGGAGGGCCTCTGCTCAGCTTCTCCGGGAGGGGCCCTCAGCTCGGCCTCCTGGGTCTCACACCTCCAGAGTGGCCCCTTCCTGGTGGCCTGCCCTAAAGCGAGCAAGACTGAACTGCAAATCCGGATGGATGCTGGGGGGGGGGGGACCACCAAAGGGAAACCAACTCACTGCAGTTTGCAACTTGTCTGGAAGCTTGACCTTTTTAGTAGTATAAAATTCTTCTATCAGACTTTTCACTAAACTGCTGTCTGAGCCAGAGAGTAGCCAAAAGATCCTCTCCATATTGTAAGGCTCCTAAAAATTGAAAAAAGACAACACACGGCATACGTACACCATTTATGTATTGGTGCTTATTTATTAAGACATTGATATCCCTGGGTTCTCCTGGGTTCAAGGCAGCCTTTCCAAGTGAAGCTTTCAATCGGAAGCAGGAGGCAGCCTTTATTTCTTTACCTCATTTGTGCCCCCTTCTTTCTCCCCACTGGCAACCCAAAGCAGCTCCTCTCCTCCCATTTATCTGGGAGCCTGGGTCTCCCAGATCTTGATTCAACACTCTTCTCACCCCCACTCAAGGGGGAGAATACAGGCCACTCACCAGGGCTGACAGTGCTAACATATCATACAATGACCGGGTCCATCATTCACCATGGCCTGTTGAGGCCGAAACATGCTCAAGGAGCAAGGGGAGGTTGAGAGCAGATGACCGAGGGGCGGATGTGGAAAAATAGGCCTGCTGAAACCTCCAGAGAATTCACAGAACCCTGGAGAAGTCAATTTGGGGGGGGGGACTCTAAATCGTCCTTCCCCCCCACAATTCCCTGAGCTTGTTTAATCACATTAGAAAAAGAAGTCAGCCAGTTAACACCATTCATAATCAACTGCCCTTTTACGTAGGGTGGGGGAGCCTGCTCAAGCCCCTGAGAGCTCATTAAAGCCAGCCGGGGATTTGGGCAGGTAGCATTTCCCAATGGTTCCTTCCTTGCCATGATTCCTCACAAGCCCTCACCTTGTTTAACTTACATTATCTAGTATTAAGGCGTTTCTGTGCATGGAGTTTGACTGAAATGAGCTTCCCCAGAGCCCCCCCATTCATTCATTTTGAGCACTGCCAAGGCACGTAAATGCGCCCCTGCCCCCGGGGTCCCGGAGGGAAGGCCACCTCCTTGGGTGGTAAAGGGGCACTGAGCACTGCCAAGGCACGTAAATGCGTCCCTGCCCCCTTTACCACCCAAGGCCACCTCCTTGGGTGGTAAAGGGGCAACACAAATCTAGTCATGGATGCCAAGTGAGGCCCTGCTGTGTGGTGTCAGAACGCTGCCTCTGGGAGAGGCCGGCTCAAGCCCCTGTTCCGCCACGCGAGCTCGCTGGGTGACTGTCAGCCAGTCGTACCCTGTCAGAATGACCCCGTCACAGGATGGCTGTGGGAAGGACAGAGTGGAAGAGGGGCGATCGATACTGTCCACTGCTTTGGGTCCCCCCTGGGAAGAACAGCGAAATACCAAGTGGAAGGAATACTGTCCCTCCAGTTAAGCAGACGCTTACCTGAATGTCCATTGCTGAGGCGAGAGTAGACCTCCTGCTCCCTGAGACGGAGAAATCGCCATGCCGGACAGTTCGGTGTACGACGTCATTGCTGTTGACCACAGCCACAAGTTCAATGGGGAGCCCCATTTTTTTTGCAATAAATCCAGCTAAGCCAGAGAACAAAAAAAGAAGCATCAGGGTTTTCTTTATGACACTATTACATTGCCACAACAATGAATAATAAACCCCCCGTCTGTCCACAAGGGCCCCATGAGGCTGCTCCCGCATGAGGAGGACAGGCTGCTTGCCCAGAATGTTTGGTCTCTGATCGGTCACCTGTGCCTTCACAAAGACGGGTTTCATACCCATGCAGTGCCGTGATTTGGAACCCTCCACAACTAGCCCTTGGGCATGAACATCCTCTCCCGTGGACTGTGCAGACCCAAAAGGGGGAGAAGCCTCATGCCTCCTTGCTCGGGGCCTAACAGCTACGACTCAGGGGAGGGTCCCACAGCCCAACTCAGATCTTCTAGGAGTCAGATGACCACTGCGAGTGGACTAAAGTTCTACGCATGTTGGGGCCCAATTCACACCAGGAACATTGCAGGGAGGGTACAGCCTCCACCCATACCATTTTCCTAACCTGAAACAGCCCCCGGTGGGTATATTATTTGCCCCGTTAAGGGGCTGACACATATAAAGACATAGGAGATGGGTGCTTTGGCAATATCCTCCAGCCTACCAGGCTCAAGGTGTCTTGGGGCAGGATACTGCCACAATGCTGAGACAGGGGATCCGGATCACTCAGCAAACTGAGATACAGACCTTTGGATCTGTAGAGGACTCTGGGCAATAAGGCTGCCTCAACCAGTGTGGGTGGCCATCTGTACACTCCTTGTCCATTTCCCCAGTGATCTCAGTTATGAGAAGAAGGAAAGGCACAGAATTTCCATCCTGACCACTAGAAAAGTAAAGCATTGTGCTAAGAGAGCAATGACAGATGCCTCCCTGAGCAAAAATTCAGGATTTGCATGGACTGAAGTGGGACAGAATGCAGCGTGGTGGAGCCTGATCTTGCCGGATCTCAGCTCAGCAGGGTCAGTCCTTGGAAGGGAGCCCACTGAGGAAGACTCTGCAGAGGAAGGCCACGGCTATCCACCTTGGCTTTTTGGTGCTGGGGGGGCAAGAGTGTCCTGAACCTCCTGATGGGGCACCTGGTATTTTTGGCCACTGTGTGACCCAGTGTTGGACTGGATGGGCCACTGGCCTGATCCAACATTGGCACCTCTTATGTTCTTATGTTCTCACTTGCCTTGAAAGCCCCTTACTGGGGTTGCCATAGGTCAACTGTAACTTGACGGCACTTTACACACATGAACTGAAGTAGTAAAGAGATCTACATCTGCCCCAGCATGGAAGTTTATTTGCAATCAAGGATCATTCAAGAGCCACCTGTGTGCATTGGCCCCTAAATGGGTAAGAGGGTCCGGCAAAGTGTTGTCTCCTCTTGCCACATGGATGGTAATTGGGGTAAATTCTTCCACAGACAGCCGGCTGAGGTGATGGATGCAGTGCTGCCTTGCTTCTTCATGTAGTACATGAGACTACATTGCCTGTGGTGGCCACCTGGACTACCTTGTCTGGGGAGGAAACACAAAATGACCCACAAACAGCCAGAAACCAGGGGTGACTGACAGTACGCCCACCACCTTGGGCACCCGAGCCACACAATGAATCGTCTGTCGTGAGCATTGCCGAAGGAGGTGGCGATGGAAAATGGACCCCTTGGCAAAGTTGCTGATTGTGAACCCACCAAAGGAAAGTTTTATGCAGTGCAGATGGAACGTGCAGAAACATATCCTGAGAGTCCTGCTTCTGGGCTGGGAAACAGTCTTCAAGTCACAGTCAGCCACACGCTTTGTCACCCTTAAAGCTTCATCTCGAAAGACTGTGGCCATCTGTTTAACCTTATCAGGCACCTGGTTGAGAACCAGAGAGATTCCCCTCTCCCCACACATAAAGGACATGCAATTAGCGATCTCTAAATACAAGGCAGCAGAGGAGTAGAACTTTTGACCGATTCTCCCCATTTCTTGTATCTCTTTCAGTTGGGCGCTCATCTCCTTGCCCAGACAGGCTCCACCACAACAGAACTGGGAGGTGAATGGGTAGAGACATTACAACTTGTTTGCTGCACTTTCTATACTTTTCCAAGCCTCTCAGGTATAGGGAGTGCTGAAGAGAGCCTGGAGCAGGTAACATTACTGGAGCTTGTGAGGCAGCATCTACCAAGCTAAGCACCTGGGTCTCGACTGTGTATAACTGGTGCTGAATGTGCAGCTGCAAAGGAACTGCAGTTTGAACGAGTTGCTCCAAGTACATTTGCAAGTCCTCCAGAGAAGACACCGCAGAAGGGTCAGAAATCAACTGCCTGGGAGAGAAGTCTCCTGCTTTACAGGAATCCATCGCATCCAATGCCTCATTTCCTTCCCCTCCTTTTTTAATTCATGAGGAAAACGAGAGGGGGCAAGGTCCCTGGGATCACACCTGAGCCAGTGACAACTCTTCAGGCACAGCTAGTTCTTTATGAACCAGTAGGGCTGATGCCGCAGGCAGTGGTAGGAGAGGCACACGTTAGCACCATAAGAGCTGAAGGTGGTGCTGTTGATTCCAGCGGCCACTCCTGAACAGAGTCTGGGGGGCTGGAAATAGCTGTTGATGTCAATGTATGGTGCTGAGGCACAGACCCCACCATCGAGGGAGTGGCCAATGTGAACAATGGCAGTGGGATGAGGGGTAGCCATAGCAGTCCCTGCAAGACAGCAGAGGCCCATCACAAGGGAACCCAGAGCTCCAGTTCACACTGTGGTGCCAAGGGCAGCAGTAAGGCTGAGCCAGGGAGACTTGGAAGAGCCGTGATAACATAAAGGCAAGAGGGTTGTGGAAGGTGAGGAAGATCAGGACGATGAGGCTGGATGGAAAATCCTCTAGTGGCCCTTCCTAGAAGAAACCAACACCCCCCCTGCACTCCTGGTGAGAGTGGCGTTCCAGCAGTGCTCTCAGTACAGGGACACTCTGCCCCTGGTGAGTTCCAAGAATGGCACCAGTTCAGCTTCACAGGTGCTTTCCTTGATACCTTTGGGAGGCTAGAGAACACCCAATCCAGGCTTTGTCCCAATTAAGGAACATGTTGAACTAACAAAATCAGGACTGAAGATGTCGCCGCAGGCACAAACAGCGGACAGGCCCAGGTCTTTGGAAGCTGCCGTCTCAGAAGAAGAGCGGCCAATCTGCCTCTTTCCCCAGGAAAGCATCTACCGGAGCGCACAGGGTGTTGCTGCCAAGGCAACAGGGCTTTACAGTCACCATGCAGGGTAAGCACAGCATGCCCAGGGTGACATGTGTGCTGCAACTCAACAGAAGCACAGAAGAGGCAGACAACATTCTGGAGAATCCCAGCTGTTGCTCCAAGAACAATCCAAGTGCCTGCTTAGTGCAATTTTGAAACACAAAAGATGTGCTACACAAGGGTTCCAACAGTGAGACACGAGGTTTCGCTGCCTTGTAGAGCAGAGTCCCTCCCACCCCGCAGGACAAGCAGACGTAGAATAAAGAAGTCGTATAAGACTATAGCAGAATGCATTTTTTTTGCCTCCAAATTTAGTAACCTTGGCAGTAGTTTTTGATATTGTCTAGAAAGAGTATGCTGAAATGAAGTTCCAGCCCCCCCCCCCACTGTGTCTCCATAACCAAAGTCAGAGTTTGGTTTCCTTTTAAGTAGGGATTTTTGACGATAGTTAAACATTCTTCAAGAAGGCTCAACTGCCCCTTGAGCACCAAAACATAAATTTCTGTTTGACCTGCTGCTCTTTGACCATCTCTGTCACAACTCTGAGGCAGACACGAAATAGGACTAGAGCCCCTTTAGCAGCCCAGCTCCCGTGGCAGCTGCAGGTCCCCAGATATCTCGAGGCCCAAGAAATGCTGTGATGGATTACACCAACCTGTCAGATTCCCTCCTCCCCCAGTTGGAACCACCATCTCCAGAACTGGCAGTGGCGCGGCATCGAGGGACGGGGCACACTGAAAGTAGGCATAGAAATGGTGCGCAATCTGCACCAGAATCCTGGACCAGTTGATCGAATTCAGGCTCATCAGATTGTGTCTTCTGGCAAAACCCTCATCTGCAAACAATTCCTTGATGGGCTCATCAATTTCATCGCTGTTCCCATCAGCTGAACGCAGGGGGGGAAAGGTGGGCAAGGAATTAGCAGGTATCAAAATATAATGCTGCACAGAGCAACTGGAAGGACATCCTCATCCCCCCCACCCTCCCCCTAGCCTGCTCGCCATGCACCATGTGCGCCTAGAAACATAACAGCCATTGGGAGGAGAGATCTAGCTGAAGCACCTGTTTCTGTTGCATCTGTCAGCATAGCAGGGGAACGTCTGAAACCAGCCCCCGGGATGCTTGGAGCACTGCCCTGTTGTCGGTTTGTTTAAAATGGAAGCTTTATATTCATTTTTTATCTTCATATAAATTTTCAGATGTGGGAGACAAGCGGGTTCCAAATAGTTACCTGTATAAATTAAGAAACTGGTCCCGTGTGAAATAACGCGGCAGCCACCGGCCGTGCACAGCCCACGGACAAGCAGGCAGTGCCCCCCCCCCCAGGCCTCTGGCATTTCCCCGGGGGGGGGGCGCGGGGGGGGGGGGGGGCTGGAGGGGACACACTTTGCACGCGATGTTTCAAGCACTCGCTGACAAAGCAGGGAGGGGTGCCCCATTAAAATGTTTCTCAACATTCATGGGACTCCCCATGAGCAGCGGGGCACTGCTGGTCTCATGTGGGGGTGGGGGAGGACCTTCGTGGCTCAGGAACACACAAGCCAGAGCCTCGGGGTCTGTCATGGTCAGTAGTGTCCACTCTGGCTGGCAGCAGCTCTCTAGGGTCTGAGGCAGGAGCCCTTCACGCCACCTGCTTCCTGATCCCTTTGCGTGGAGAGGCCAAGGTCTGAACCTGGGACCTGCTGCGTGCCGAACAGACACTCTGCCGCTGAGCCCTGGCCCCTCTCTCACTCTGGACTATCTTAGGAACACAGCTAGGCACCAAATCCCACCTTACCTGTAATTCAGAATATCCCATGATAAGAAACACACAAATGTCCACCAATCTGACTCACCAAGAAATACATGGACGTTCTCTTCAATTACTGTAGTCATCTGCAGTTCCTGCACTTGGCTACAGAGACCCTGCGGCAGCAGAACAAATATGTCCACATTCCTTTCACCCCTGACACTTTCAATTGCTGAGCTGCCAGTGTCTCCTGAAGTTCCTGATTAAAAATAGGACCAATCGCATATTAAAAGCTTAACAGAACTCTGGAAGACCGGCATTAAAGATATGCTCTCAGCCAGTGGCCAATATTTTTTCCCTTTTTTCGCTTCACTCGCTTTTTAGCTTATCATACTTCATTTCAACTTTATTTTCTCTATCGATACCTCTCCTCTTTCTTCTTTTCCTTCCATCTTCTCTTTCTTCTAACTTACAGCTCTGTCCATGACAAGATGACAGCCATTTCAGAGGGGGCTGTGGTGGCCTGCCGTAGAAGACTTTCTGCATCCATTTCCCTGCAGCCACGTCGGAACGTTACTCTCCCTCTGCATCGCCCCATACTTCCCACTTTTCTTGTGCATCGGGTTACTACTTTGCAGCTTCTGCGTAGTTTTCTGGCCGTTCAGCGTCTGCAATCATCACAGCATTGCCCCAGGGTATCTGAATGGGGTTGTGGACCAGACCTTACGCCTCCTCCGCTTCGGAGGAAATAATAAGCAGACTACTATTTGACGTGGCTTCAGTCCTCTCTGCCCGTTCCCCCATTCCTATTTCTGCTTCTATTTAATTCTCACCCAGCACACAACTTGGAGGGCAGGTAGAGGGGCAGCCTGGGGAGGTCCTCTGCGAGTTTGATGCTTCCACCTTGCAGGGGGGGCATTTGACACACTCTTCCCCCCGCTTTGCACATTGGGACCCCAGGGAGGGATCTTTCCCTCCCACAAAGCCAATCTGCACATGGCTGGAGGGGGATGTATTAAAAAGAATGACAGGATTGGCCACTGGAACCCATGGGAGAAGCTTGAAGGCCCACTTATGTATTGTTGTTTTTTTAATTAAAACCCTTGGGAGCCCACCCCTCCCAACAGACCAGCCAGCCGCCTACCTTGCAAGGTCCCTCCACGGGGGGCCGTGGGTGCCTGCAGTAGCCCAGCGGCAGCTAGCCAAAGGGGGTGGGAGAGCAGGCAGGAGAGGAGAGGAAGGGGGAGGTGCCGTGTGCCCCCCACCCCCCAAGCTGGTGGCCATTGGTCACCCCCTCCACAGGTCTGAAGGGATGTTAATTACAATTAGGCAAAAAATGTGGGTTTTGGTTGCAGATACAGAATGCATCCCCCAAAGTAAACTGGAGAAAAAAGAACAGTGCAAAGGGGCAGGGACACAAAGTACGAAGCGAACCTCAAAGGCTCGACAGCTCGGATCCTCCAGACTAAGCTCCAGTGGGCTGTTAGTGCAGAGGGGGCCAAGGAGAGCGCTGACTCTCAACAGCCTGCACAGGGAAAACTGGTCTCTAGGGGGGGTGGGGGTCTCCAACCCTTACACCTGGAAGGCTTTGCCTCGCAAAGGCTTACACCCTGAAAACCAGTCTCTGAACTCCTGAAATGTGTTGGTCTCTAAGGTGTTAGTGGACTCCAACCGGGTGGAACTCTCTGCCAAATAACATTTGTGCCCTGCGGGACGTGATGCTGTTCTACAGCGCCCGTAAGGCGGAGATGTTCCGCCAGGCGTTCAGCTGAGCAACAAGAGTTTCGTCCTTCTGGCACGCCCACTCCCCGCCTCCCCAGGAGGGCAGTGGCCCCACTGGAATTTTTAGTGTCACCTTTTAGGTTAATTACTGTGCCTTTTATTGTTTTTAAATTGTTTTAATTATGGACTATATGAATTAATTATGTTGTGCACTGCCCTGAGCCCTGCCTGGCAGGGGAGGGCGGTTCAAAATCGAATTTAATAAAGAATAAATAAATAAATATAGTATTGCAATAGACAAAACTATTACAGTAGTGGGGAAAAACCTTACAGATTCATATTATACTAAAAAAATGTTTTTGTCATTATTGCATTAATCATATCTCCTACTCTGTTTTATAACATGGGTTGAATCTAGCCAGTTTTCCCAACCTATCTCACCCAGTTCCCCTTCATACTACAGCCCATGTCCTAAACAGCTTTTGTACTATGCAGATGCCGTAATTCTTGAGTGGATTATTTATTTGTTTGTTTTATTACATTTGTCTCCCGCCCTCCCCGCAAGCCGGCTCAGGGCGGCTCACATATTAAAACAATCATACAGTAAACAAACAACAATTTAGTGCTCACAATGGTGGTCGTTCCTTCAGTAAATTAATAGTGGCCTGTTATAGAACGTAGTTCTAAAATCCCGATTAAATGGTATTCTGACCTCCCACATACTGTGGCTCGATCTCCATACAGGGCCAGTCCTCTACCATAGATGTTGCTAGTAATAATAATTGGTAGTAGTGGTGCCGGTGGTGGTGGGCGGCTACTAGTTGAAAGCCTGCCGGAAAAGCTCCGTCTTGCAGGCCCTGCAGAACTGTACAAGGTCCCGCAGGGCCCTGATCTCTTCCGGGAGCTTGTTCCACCAGGTGGGAGCCACCACCGAAAAGGCCCTGGCCCTAGTAGCAGCAAGCCTGGCCTACTTAGGGCCTGGAATAATTAACCAATGTTGCGACCCCAACCGTAGTGCTCTCTGGGGTATGTATGGGGAAAGGTGGTCTCTCAGGTATGTCGGACCCTGGCCACATAGGGCTTTAAAGGTAAGTACCAGCACTTTGAAGCAAATTTGGTATGCTATTGGCAGCCAGTACAGCACCTTCAGCACCAGCCGGATGTGCTCCCATCTAGGGAGGCCCATCACAAGCCTGGCGGCAGCATTCTGCACTAGGATTTGCGACAAGGGCAGCCCCAAGTAGAGAGTGTTACAGTAGTCTAATCTCGAGGTGACCATTGCATGGATCACTGTAGCCAGGTCGTCACGGTCAAGGAAGGGAGCCAACTGCCTTATCAACCGAAGATGGTAAAAGGCCGACTTGGCAGTGGCTGCCACCTGGGCCTCCATGTTAAGGATGGATCCAGGAGTACTCCCAAACTCCTAACCTCCGGCGCTGGCACCAATGGTGTCCCATCGAAGGTCGGGAGCCCCAGCCCCAGCCCACCCCAACAATGAATACGTCCTTCCTTTCTCAGTAGCAGAAAAGTTAATTGGGTCCAACTCTATGTCAATTCACACTGCAATCCTAAACAGAATTACACCCTTCTAAGCTGACTGACTTCAATGGACTACATTGTTAATCACTGTAGTAACTGAACATTTTTAAAATGTCATTCTGAAATTGGAGCAGTAGCCAATTTTCTGCAGATCCAATTCCCTTTTCTCAATAAAATATTTTAAAAATTTAGCATTATCACTTGATTATCAGAATGCTAAAGTCTGGAGCACCCTGTCAAATACTTAATAGAACACACATATTTATCGAATACTTTTTAATCAGAGAGCAAGTCCAAAATGTAGATTTTCTCATACTGCCAATGTGGGCCCGCTAGACTTGAGATGAGAGGTGATTGAGCTCTCTGATATTTATCTTTGGCAGTCATATAAAAATCTTGGTACAACTTTACTCCGTATGTGTGTCCAGTAGGGATGAGCACGGACTGGGGAAATGGAGGTCTGTAGAGGTTTGCGGTTTGTGAATTTCATGAACCATGAACTTCCACAGACTTTCCCAGTTTACAAACCAGTTCGTGGTTTCTTAAGTCCACAATGGGCGCAACCCGGAAGTGGGCTGAGAAGTCATATAAATGCCTTCCGAGCTTAACTTCTGGGTCATGCTCATGCCCACCACCGTGGCATGATCCAGAAGTCCCTCCTGAGCTCGCTGGTGGTGTGCCGCAGTGGCAGCACAATCCAGAAGGGGGCTCGGGAGGCATTTGAATGCCTCTTCAACTCCCTTGCAGGGGCCCCGGCAGACCACCCCACGGGCAACTCTGAACCAGGCCCCATTTCATCACAAAATTAGATCCATGGACCGGCATCCCTCATGTCCAGTCTCATCTAGAAATAAGAGAGTTTATCACACACATACATAGACCTTTATTGGCATAATAAAACAAGACAGTTTAGATCTTTCCCACTTTAAAAAAAGTATTGGGGATTGCATCTAGATGTGACACAATCCAGGAGCACTGACTTATTAGGGCCAGTTGAATGAGCAGAGATCATCAGTTTTTCAAATTCTGCTTTTGTTCGAATTTCTCCACAATTTCTTAGTAGGGATGATAAAATGTGTCTTATCAAGAGCCATGGAAACACTATGGCCCACAGCTAAAAGTGCGATTTAAACACTGTTACCAAAGTACACATCCCGACAGCCTTCCTATAACGAGGCATTCCCCCCCCCCTTTTGTACACCTGGACCTGGGACCTGGTCACATGACTCAGGAAAGCTCCTGCCCCTGCCACCAATCCGGTTAGCCTTGAAAGTGCTCCTGGACTCTTGGTCTTTTCTGCTGCTACAAAGAGACTTAACACGGCCGCCCATCTTGATCTACCTCTCAAAAGAACACAGCAGGGCCAGGCTAAGAGTCCAGCTCATCAGCCTCCTGTTCCCAGCAGTGGTCAGCCAGATACCCCACCAGCGGGGCAGGATGCTGACAGCCCTTCCGCCTTATGGTAACGTGTGTACCCCAAACTGTTTGACCTTTGGAGGAGAAGGCCCCCAATAGGGCGGAAACGCGTCAGGTCACGGGTGTCTCGGCCCCTTGTGTTCAGGCCACGTGAGCTTTTTAACGAGGCTTTCATTGGGCCCTTATTTGTTTTTAACTGCGTTTCTAATAAATACATGTATTTTTGTATACTATAAGTTTCAACTAGGTTTTTAATATTGGCCCTTCATCAGACTTCTTTCTTACCCTTGTGGTTCTTGAGCCCTTCCATCTATCCAGAAATATAATGCCTGCAAAAGTCCAACAGCGCCAAGAAATCTGTCCCAGCTGAATCCCCTTCAAAAGCCCTTAGTCCATCATTACGTCTTGTGACTACAAATTCTCATTTGCGAAGGTCTTTGGTGTGAGATGCAAAGTGTGGCGTGGATACAGTTTTACAGTCCATGTGCATTACAAAAGACAGAGGCCCACACCATAGGCAAGGACCTAAAACTAGATCATAGAGATCTGGTGAGTCGGCAAACTGCAGGGCTACATGAATCAAGTCACTTCCTGGCCACAAGCGACGGAATTGGCAAAAAGCATCTTGTGTTAACAGACCCCCATTATTAAAACCAAGCCCAAATCCACTCAAAGTTAGTTCCAGGACAAACATACCCACGAGAATAGTGACGTGCTTCTTCCTCTTCTTCAGAAAGTACTGCAGAAACTGCCCCGTGCAGGACAAGGACAGATCCTTAAAGGCGAAGGTCACACCGTGCCAGAGTTCCAAAACATTCAAGCCATTCTTCAGTCTTGACAGAGGAACAACATCTTTGTGTCTGAACCTGCTGAATGCTCTATCAATCAGGTCTAGAAACAGACAAAGTCAAAGAACATGAATACCCTGAGAACATACCAAACTCAATTTACAACAGCTTTGTTCTTCGACTATCAGGAAGTCACTGTAGTGGTAGGTAAAGGTAAAGGTTCCCTTGCTCGAAAGGAAGTCGAGTCCGACTCTAGGGTTGTGGTGCTCATCTCCATTTCAAAGCCAAAGAGCCAGCACTGTCCGAAGACATTTCCGTGGTCATGTGGCCGGCATGACTAAATACTGAGGCGCACGGAACGCTGTTCCCTTCCCACCGAAGTGGTACCTATTTATCTACTTGCAATTTCTTGCTTTCGAACTGCTAGGTTGGCAGGAGCTGGAACTAGAGACGGGAGCTCACTCCATCATGCGGCACCCGGGTCTCGAACTGCTGAACTACTGACCTTCCACAGCCTGCAGTTCAGCATCTTAACCACTTAAGCCACCGCAGCTCCATAGTGATAGTGATAGACATGCATTTAAATCTTGAAACAGTCATCCCAAGCAATTTCAATTACAACAGGGCTTCCCCTGTTCCAAAATAAATAATCAGTTATGAAAACTGCACAGTGCTTTTCTAATTTTTCCCATGGAAAAATAGCTTTTGACTATTAAAGTGACTGAGCCTTTCCATTCTCAGCATCTGCAGAGACTTTCCCTGTTGCCAGGCAGTTCACTGCAGAAACAGATACTGGTTTCCTCCATGTGCCTTTCAGAAGAGGGATCCTGTTGTTATACAAGACCGCATTCATACTCCCGCAACAGCAAACAGGCAGCTTGTCAGGCCGACAGCTAGCAGGTGACAGGCTTCGTATCAGGGTAGGGTTTGGCTGTACCTCCAAATGCTCACTGTCAATTCACAATTGTCCCAAGCCAAAGGACTGGTTTAGAAGCACCCCAGGAATGCATAGAAGAATTTTCAGCTAGGTCCAAAATATTTAATAATTTTTGAAGCCTCAAGAGTTTTGGCTTTCAAATACTGATGTTTAAATGTACCATTCAAATCCGGTTTGGGAATAAGTTCAGCCGAAATGAAGATGGAGCACAACCGTTTCACCAGTTCCGGGTAGGAGAAGGTGCTCCATTTCTGAAGTGTGACGTAGTCCAGCGCTGGGATCATCTCAGGCATCAGCAGACCACCATCCACAGCATACCCCGAGAACAGAGCTCCTTCAAAATCAAGGCTCCCAGCTGCTCCTCGAGTGCTGACATACCGCATATCTTGCTCTCTGTCACTGCAACGAACAGCCATCTGCATGAGCTGGGACTCAAACATGACGGGGCTGAGCAACGTGACAGAGACCTTTGCCCTTCCCTGACAAGTCCCTCCAGCAACTCTACAGGAAGCCAGCTCTGACCGTCCCTGTGGAGTCCATCTCTAACACACTGAAGGGAGAGGGAGGAGAGACCCATTTACTCCTCAGGAAAGGCTGCTGAACAAAAGAAGACACAAGCAACCCTGTGGTGTAGGTACATTAAAAGGATTTATATAACTTGTTAGACTTATAAAATTGCAAAAGATTTTGTCAACATCCTTATGTGTACAATATTGTAAGTAAAAGGTCCAATATAGTCCAACATAATGAGTATCCGGTATACACTCATTTCAACTTTTACAGTCTTCCTCAGATGTAAGGCTATATTGTAAGTAGAAGTCAGCTTCTTGATCCAGCTCAATTTTGTAATAGTCTTCATAAAATCCTGGAATAAACCAAGTAAATGAACATTCATATGCAGCTGCATGAAAATAGGATATTACATATTATGATGATTAAATAATATAGTTACAGAAGTTAGCAAACTTACTTCTGGATCCAACAAGTGTCTATGTATGGAGCAAGCCAATAAATTCAAAAACAGCCTCCTGAGTTTTGTTGGCTATGCTCTCCCAAGCACTATTTATTACAGTAGTAGCAGACCAGTCCTAATTTCACCCGGCTAGAAGCCTTCATATGGTGGCTGGCATATGCTCTCTACATCAATCCAGAATTTATAAGAATTCTATAAGTTAATTCCATGCAGCTGCATACTGAACATCATGTTCTTAAAGTAACATAACCTTATAGCTAGCTGAACCTCTGTAATTAATCCATTATTACATTGTTACATAAATACTTATAATCCATTATGTATTGTACACATAAGGATGTTGACAAAATCTTTTGCAATTTTATAAGTCTAACAAGTTATATAAATCCTTTTAATGTACTTACACCACAGGGTTGCTTGTGGGTTTTTTTCCTGTTGGATACCTGTGTTCCCTTTTGCCTTCAACAAAAGAAGACGGCAGGGGATCGTGCTGGGCAGTGCCAGGCCACGGGCGGGGCAAGTGTGGGGTGGGTGGCCTCTTGACCACCACAAGACCTCCTCCTGGCCCGCCTCACAGGGCTGTGACTGTGAAGACAGGGCGAAGGAGGGGAGATTGGGGTGGCCCTCCAGTGCCAGGCCACGGGCGGGGCAAGTGTGGGGTGGGTGGCCTCTTGACCACCACAAGACCTCCTCCTGGCCCGCCTCACAGGGCTGTGACTGTGAAGACAGGGCGAAGGAGGGGAGATTGGGGTGGCCAACTACGACTCTGGGAATCGTCTCTAGAGAAGAAGGTGGGGGGGATGGGGGGGCCCTGTAGCTGTGGCGTTTCAATGAATGTGACGGACGCAGCTGCTAATTCATGCGGTTCATCTGTTAGCCGCCTTGAGCCTGCTCCTCAGGCAAGGCGGGGCACAAATACAAACAACGGATAAATGAGTTCGTGCTTTTTTAATATAATTTGCACAGGATCCATTCTATACAATCCTGACCCTCATGAACCTGTGCTTGTCATTTCCCCAGAAAATGCTTTCCTGGGGACACCTTCTTTGGGGGAGCCATAACTCGAACCCCATAAATTCAATCCTCACCAACCTTGGCATGTAGGTAGAGGTGGGTTAGCCGGATATCCCTTGTGAGTTTGGTGTCTCTATCATGCTGAGGGGTGTTCTACCATGTCACAAACCTCACAAATGAAACTGGTTTATTTGTGATGTTTCATGGTTCATGAAGCTGGCATACCATGAACCATACCACATTTTCCCAGTTCATGCCCATCACTACTCAACACCAGTTCTCTAGGTGAAATCCATCTGGTTGTCCTCATGAATTACCCCTGCATTGACCCATGTGGATCTATAAGAACCAGATCATCACTGAGACAGTACCCTAAGACCACAATTGTACCTTTAAAGATTGACTACCTCTTTCAATAGTCTTTCAGTAGTCATGTATGGCTGCGAGAGTTGGACTATAAGGAAGGCCGAGCGCCGAAGAATAGATTCTTTTGAACTATGGTGCTGGAGAAGACTCTTGAGAGTCCCTTGGACTGCAAGAAGATCAAATCAGTCAATCCTAAAAGAAATCAACCCTGACTGTTCCCTGGAAGGCCAGATAATGAAACTGAAGCTCAAATACTTTGGCCACCAAATGAGAAGGGAGCACTCCCTGGAGAAGAAGACCCTGATGCTGGGAAAGACGGAAGGTCAAAGAAGACGGGGACGGCAAAGGATGAGATGGTTAGACAGTGTCACAGATGCAACGAACATGAAATTGAGCCAACTTCAGAGGACGGCGGAAGACAGGAGGGCCTGGCGGGATCTGGTCCATGGGGTCGCGAAGAGTCGGACTCGACTGTGCGACTGAACAACAACAAAAATCAGAAGGGGAAAAAAATCAACTTTTAGGGTTGGAGGAAACATTGAGAGCCAGTGTGGTGTACTGGTTAAGAGTGGTGGACTCTAACCTGGAGAACTGGGTTTTATTCCCCACGTCTCTATATGCAGCCAGCTGGGAGACTTTGGGTCAGACACAAGTTCTCTCAGAGCGTTTCTTTCAAGGGCAGTTCTCAAGAGAGCTCTCTCAACCCCACCTACCTCACAGGGTGTCTGTTGTGGGGAGGAGAAGGAGCTTGTGAGCCGCTCTGAGACTCCGAGTTAAGTTCAGGGTGTAAATCCAACTCTCTTAATTTTTTTTCTCATATCAGAAAAAAATGAAACAAGAATCTATCAAATTTATCCTAAAACAGAAAAAAGTTATATCAAAAATAATTTTTATATTGATATTATTATGGTGGGAGGGGCCCACGGAGGGAAAAGTGCCTAGGGCCCATGAAAGTCATGTTTACCTGGGGCCATCCTCCTATCTCAATCTCAGATCTCAAAAACAGCTCTGTTTGCAAGCACACACCCTTCCCCGGCTAAATTGCACAAACAGCTGACCTTTTGTTACAGTGACTGAGAGGCAGACTTCACTCCTTTCTGAGCTAAAAATAGAGGTTCTTACCTCTGGGCCCCGTAAATCTCTGGACCTGGTCCTGCCAGGGAACCATGAAAAAGCAGAGTGCACGGCAAAACTGGGACTAGGTATGGCCGCATATTTAGTTACACAGAGGCAGCAATCAGATAAAAAAACTACCGTAATAAGTAACTTTTATTAAAGGAAATACACACTGGAGAGTGCAGGTAAGAGACAGGGATAGATTACCTACTCTAGCTGACTAGATGGTGTTGGATGCTGGACACATGTCCAGCCTCCATGGAGAAGGGAGAGAGAGCAGAAACAGGAAATTACCCCTAAGAGTAGCATTCTACTTCAGGAGAAAGGATCAGATAGCAGGAAAGAAAGGATGCTCTGTGTGTTCTGACCTCTCTATCTGTCTAAACTCTTTGGGGCCATCTCTCAAGTCTGAGGCAGGAGACAGCACAAAGTCCTCCCAACAGCAATAACAGCTCTTCCCCCCAGGTGGGATGAGCAAGTTGGACAGCAATTGACAGTTTCCAGAGTTGGCATGATGGTCTCCGGGATGATGATGAGTGCTATAGGACTGACATGACAACCCCCCAGAGTAGATTGGTGGTCACTGGTGATGGAAGGACAGCCCCCCAAATCATAGAATCATAGAGCTGGCCTGGAGAAAAAGTGGCAATCAGCATTCCCCTGGGCGTGTAAGAAAGGGCCACAAGACCTAAGCACTGAGGCAATCCTTCCTGCCCTCCGTCTCATGATCTGCCTAATTTCACACAATCAGCATTGCTGTCGGATGGTCATCTAGCCTCTGTTTGAAAACCTCCAGAGAAGGAGAGCCCTCCACCTCCCGAGGAAGTCTGTTCCACTGGGAAACCGCTCTGTCAGGAAGTTCTTCCTAATGTTTAACCGAAAACTCTTGTGATTTAATTTCGACCCATTGGTTCTGGTCCAACCTTTCCGAGGCAATAGAAAACAACTCCGTACCATCCTCTATATGACAGCCCTTCAAGTACTTGAAGATGGTTATCATATTACCTCTCAGTCATCTCTTCTCCAGACTAAACATACCCAGTTCCTTCAACCTTTCCTCATAGGACTTCCTTCTCTCCAGACTCCTCACCACGTTCCAGCTTGTCTACATCCTTCTTAAATTGTGGTACCCAAAACTGAACACAATACTCTAGGTGAGGTCTAACCAGAGCAGAGTAAAGTGGTACCATCACTTCACGTGATCTGGACACTATACTTCTGTAAATCACATTTGCCTTTTTAGCAACCACATCACACTGCTGACTCATGTTCAGTGTATGGTCTATTAAGACCCTTAGATCCTTTTTGCACATACTACTGTCAAGGCAAGTCTCTCCCATCCTATAATTATGCATTTGATTTTTCCTACCTAAATGCAGAAGTTTACATTAATCTGTGTTGAAATTCATTAAATTTGTTTTAGCCCAGTTTTGCAGCATGTCAAGTTCACCCTGTATCCTGACTCTGTCTTCTACTGTATTTGCTACCCCTCCCAATTTAGTATCATCTGCAAATTTAATAAGCAGTTCCCTCTATCCCTTCATCCAAATTGATAAAGATGTTGAACAAAACAGGTACCAGGACAGATCACTGAGGCACTCCACTTGTCACTCCAAAAAAATGAGGAACCACTCACAAGGAGTGTTCCCTCTAATCTGACTTCCCTCTAAGCTGTTTTAGTTTAGGAAGGGTGGCTCCAGAGCAAACTAATTTATGCTCTATCACAGCTTTAATGCCAGTAGCTCACAGAGTAGAATTTTTGCTCACAAGACTCCACGGCTTAGAGGGAGCATTGCTCACAAGCACTCTTTGGGTGCGATCTGTCAACCAGTTACAGATCCACTTAACAGTCATAGGATCCAAACCACATTTTACCAATTTGTCAACAAGAATATTGTGTGGAACCTTATCAAAAGCCTTACTGAAAT